GTTCTACCCATATATAAATAGACATGTTAAGGGACCTAGGGTTTCACATATCAGTCTCCTTTGGATTATCAACAAATGGTTCAGATTTATTCTCAACACCTCATGACCCAATATAAATAGCTTTCTGCCATCTCATAAACCCTAGATCAGGCAGCCAAACTCCCCAAGTCCCCATCTCTCATCTCCATTTCTCGACGATCTATGCTCCTCCCTACTCGCGACGATACCCTCTTCCCTCTCCGACAATGCCCTTGTCCCTCCCCGCGATGACGCCCACTTCCCTCGATCTCTGTAGATCTTGGAGATTTTGTACCGTGATTCTTTGATTTTTCTCACTGGAAAGGTAAAAACCCCTTTTGCAATTAATTTATGTACTTTTTTGAGTCTGTATTTCCATATTTATTTAGTTTAACAACTTAGTTAATGAATAATTTTATACCAAAATATGAAATATCGTTAATCGAATGTTTGCGAATAGTTACCAAACACGAACACAACTAAACGAAGCAAATTCGAATTCTGAATATTATTCGAGTCGAATTCAAACACGAATATGAATACCACTAATTGAGTCGAATTCGAATTCGAATAAGGCCTTGTTCGTTCAGATTTGCTTTGTTTCCACCCCTAGTCATTACGATAATTGCAGCTAACGTTGCTATTATAAATTTTATGGCGAGGCAAATAATGAAGAAAATGGCATTTTCTGAGTAATTTTTAAAAAAATTGCAAACTAGTCCCTTAAAATTTTAAATATGGTGGAAAGTACTTTCACATCAATTATTTTCTTCTTTTTTTAAGTTGAACCAAACTAAGAAAAATGGTGGAAAGTATTTTCACCCCATATTTTTTGGCGAAACAAGCACAAGAAATACTTTCAATGAAAGTGAAGGAAACACAAAAAATAAAGAATAATCATTTTTAAAAAATGAAGGAAACGAACCAAACAACCCCTTAATGTGAGCTCTTCTCACCAAGAATTTCCCTTCTCACAAAGAAAAGGAGATAATATATTAAGTTTCAGCACAATATAATCTAAGGAAGGATCGTCAGTATAGCCTCAATTATGAATCTCTATCTATCATAACAGATGGCAGATGCTAATGAGAATATATTTTATAAGGGAAAATTTAACGGATTGATATATTTTGTTAACACTATATGCTGATTAGGTATATTTTCTTAGTTCAATAATGACATGATACATTTTGTGCAAAACGATGTCAAATACTCCTACTTTTTAGCAGGAGCCAAAAATTCCATTGAGTTCAGACACTTGACCACCTACGTGCGCCTTACATGACTTCCAACATAGAAGATAGTTGGACTTAAGTATATGGCTGAAAAATATCTTTTTTTTTTAAATTAATGCTCAAAAGAGTTGGGGTTCAAGTTGAGGATGTTCTTCTTCATCCTATGGTTAAATTTTGACTATGTCAACTAAAGTTTGACTCCTAGGAGAGCTTAATGTTAGAGAATTCATTACTACTTTCAGTTGTCCTAACCCATTTTAGTCCTAGGAGGAAAAACACCCCTAAATTTAACCCTAACTCTTTTGAGCCCAAATTTATAAAAAAAAAAGACTCGAGCTCATAAATCTAAAGACAACTCTCTTCCACATAGAACGCACATGAGTGGTCACATGAATGAACTCACCAAAAATTTGCTTCAACCAGAATTAGAGATATCTGTCACTGGTTTTTGCACAAGATATACCATATCGTCGTTGGAGTAAAAAAAACCTAGTTGGTACACATGGTTAAAAAATATACCAATTCATTAATTCTGACTTTTCGTTAGTGAAAGCCTATAATTTTATTTTCCCAAAAGTACTCATAAATTCATAACATCTGCATATTACTACATAATTTCCTTTAAAATAAGAGTAGCGGTAACTGCATCACTTCACTTACACTATTTTTTATACTATAAGAGAGAAAAGTGGGGTGTCAAATCTCTTTAAATTTTTTTCAAATTTGATGACACATTTAAAGAGCCCATACTTTTCAGCGCGAAAGTATTTCTCTCATTTAGCGTGAAAGTAAGAGGGTTATTGGTTGGGACAAATTGGGGCCAAGTGGAAAAATTATTTTAATGGAACAATTTTACCCTTTTGGAATATTTTGAGTGGGGTAAAGTGGGATAATGAGATAATTTGAACCTTTGATTTGACAATTCATGTTAGATAATTGATGACGTGACACCTTATTAAAAAATAATTTTATCTCTTAATTACTTCTAAATTAACTTATCCAATTGGTTTAGTATATTATTTAGTATATTATTATAATATTAATATTATTTTACTTTATATTAAAATATAATATATTATACTATACATACAAATTACTATTATTGATTATTGTATTGTATTATATTATATCATATTAGCATGCTATACTATATATAATAATTAATATAATATAATATAAATATATTTAATATAATATTTTAATAATATAGTATTTAATATAATACATTATTTTATTTATACAAAAATATAATATGTTATACAATAATTACTAATTAACATTATATTAGTATGCTACATTATATAATTTGATATAATATATGAATAATATATTTAATATAATACTTTAATAATATATTATTTAATTTAATATATTATGATATAGTATCATATGATATAATGTACTAATTAATATTATATAATAATATATTACATAATATTATTAATATATGTTATTAAAAATATTATATATATGTTATTAAAATATTAATATATGTTATTATATAATATTATTAATATATGTTATTAAAATATTAATATATGTTATATTTTATATATCATGTCATATATTTATAATATAATTAGCATGTATTAGTTAAGTAATATAAAAATATTTTAAAATTATCCCGATTGCCTTCAAAGTGGAATAACATTGTTCCAATATGGAGGATAGGGTAAATTTTTACCATTGAGACAAAATTTTTGTATATGAGTGGGGTAATTTTATCTCAAGTGGTGTAATTGTCTCACTAGTGTTCCAAAAAAACAATAACACAAAAATGTATTATCCTTGTTCCATTGTCCCAATGAATAACACTATGAAATAGAATCCCCAAAATTATCTCATTATCCCCCAAAATATCCCAACCAATAACCCCCCTATTGGTTGGGATATTTTGGGAGATAATGAGATAGTTTTGGGGATTCTATTTTATAGTGTTATTCATTGGGACAATGGAACAAGGATAATACATTTTTGTGTTATTGATTTTTTAGAACACTAGTGAGACAATTACACCACTTGGGATAAAATTACCCCGCTCATATAAAAAAAAAATTATCCCAATAGTAAAAATTTACCCCATCCTCCATATTGGAACAATGTTGTTCCACTTTAAAGACATCGGGATAATTTTAAAATATTTTTATATTACTTAACTAATACATGCTAATTATATTATAAATATATGACATGATATATAAAATATAACATATATTAATATTTGAATGACATAATTTAATAACATATATTAATAATATTTTGTAATAACATAAATTAATATTTTAATAACATATATATAATATTTTAATAACATATATTAATAATATTATGTTATATATTATTATATAATATTAATTAGTAATTATAGTATAACGTATTTATTATAATATTATATAATATTTTAGTAACATATATTAATATTTTAATAACATAATTTAATAACATATATTAATAATATTATATAATAACATATATTAATATTTTAATAACATATATATAATATTTTAATAACATATATTAATAATATTATGTAATATATTATTATATAATATTAATTAGTAATTATAGTATAACGTATTTATTATAATATTATATAATATTTTAGTAACATATATTAATATTTTAATAACATAATTTAATAACATATATTAATAATATTATATAATAACATATATTAATATTTTAATAACATATATTACTATATTATAATATATTAAATTAAATAATATATTATTAAAGTATTATATTATATATATTATTCATATGTTATATTAATTATTATATAATGTAGCATACTAATATAATGTTAATTAGTAATTATTGTATAACATATTATATTTTTGTATAAATAAAATAATATATTGTATTAAATATTATATTATTAAAATATTATATTAAATATATTAATATTATATTATATTAAATATTATATATAGTATAGCATGCTAATATAATATAATATAATACAATATAATAATTAATAATAGTAATTTGTAAGTATAGTACAATATATTATATTTTAATATAAAATAAAATAATATTTATATTATAATAATATATTAAATAATATACTAAACCAATTGGATAAGTTAATTTAGAAGTAATTAATAGATAAAATTATATTTTAATAAGGTATCACATCATCAATTATCCCACATGAATTGTCAAATCAAATGCTCAAATTATCCCATTATCCCACTTTACCCCACTCAAAATATCCCAAAGGAGTAAAATTGTTCCTTTGGAATAATTTTTCTACTTGGTCCCAATTTGTCCCAACCAATAACCCCTAGTGTAGAAAAATAAAGTATTGTTATCATTATTCTTGAAATAATTCACGTATTATTATGCCATACGCATACCATTCGTATCAAAATTGCCGTCAGGGCTCATAAACTCCCCTCTCTCACAAAAAGCGCCGATACCTCGTACGAAGAAAGACGGAAAAGAATACCTCGAAAATCAAAATTCCCCTCGATATATTCACACCGAATTCTCATCAATCACCCGAAGCGCCCCCTTCGCTGCTCGAATCCTTCCGAAATACCGGTCGCTATTTATCAACGAGCACTTTTAGGCAGCCGCAGTAATTTCCGTAATTTTAAAAGCAGTCAGCGTCATCATGAGGACTTTACCGAAGCCGCTAATTCCCGTAATTCCTGGTCAGTCACGAGGGTAAATTAGTAGTTTTCCCCTACCAATTTCTTTCCAGTCCTCGAGTATAAAAGCAAGCGGGGAAAAAAGAGCCAAAAACTAATAATGGCGGTTGTTTTTTACTGATTGATTGAAGTAAAGAGCGAAACTGAGACGAGGAGAGCTCTTCTTCTTTCCTAAGCTGAGCTGCGCTTGTAAATGCTCGATTCCTGCTCGAAATCTCGGTGTCTGGAGCTAGTTTGCTGCTTCTGAGGTGGAGATCTGCGGTGTTTAGGGTTTGATTTGGTTTTCGTCTGAAGAAAGGGCTTGATTTAGGGTTTTGGAAGTGGTATGCTCGTTTTCAGTTGGCGGGAGCTTGGTCGAGGAGTTGTAGAGTGAGATCTGAGGACCTAGGGTTTGGATCGAGGTCAGTTGTGGTGATTTTGAGGAGATCCGGTTGTTTCAATTGATCGCTGAGGTTTCGGTTCAAATGCTTGAGCTCTGTACTCGCCGCTTTCTCTGAGTTCGAAGGGATTCCTTTTCTTTGTGAAATTTGTCGTACTTTCGTTTGTCTGGAGTCCGTACTTGAAGTTGGAGCAGCGAATTTAACGGATAAAATCGAGGGCTAGGGATTGGAGAGTGAAGGATTTTGAAATGAAAGTATTAGATTCTTCAGGTACTAATTTGGAAGAGAATGATTTTAATAGGCATGATTGTATCTTTCTCTAAGAGAGAGGGGGGAAAAGTCGCGGCTTTTTGTTATATGGATTGACCTCTGGTAAAGTTTTCGCTCCTTTGTTGAAGAAAAGGAACAGCTTTGTTAGTTTTGGGGTTTCTTTCTGGATTAAAGCCTCTTTAGATTCTTAAAGGATGAGGCTTTCTTCATCGGGTATCGTCAATCAGCCACAGGAGGGTGAGTTCATTGTTTCGCCCTTTTAAATATTGTTATAATCTTTTGTTTTTTAGCTTTTCTGAGATATTCTCCCTTGGTGAAAGATACCAAAAGATGATTTCTTCTTGTGAAACTTTAGGTATTTGGACCCATTTGGTTGTTCTAGGACCGTCTCCTTTAATTATTTCTGTTTTTTATTTTTAATTGTAGCAAGGGCTTTTCCCCAATCAAAATTAAACAAGCACCTAATACTGGGAAGGTTCATAGTGGGTTTTGAATTGAACACAGTTATTTAGTTAGATGCGATTCTTTCGTGGGCTGTTGTTGAGATTAGTGGCATATTTTGCATTTTGGCTTATAAATTCTTAGTCTGTCCCTGGTTACCAGGAGGGATTCATGCTTGGGATACTCTTCATTGTAGAATAAATTTGTTTTTAGGGACAAAAAGTATTTTTTAAGTATTTTATTTAAAGTCATCAGGGTGGGCTTTTGGAAACAACCGGTTGTCTTTATATTTTCCCCCAAATTGTGCAATATTGATTTTGCTAAAATTCTGATCTCGGTTTGAAATTGTTGTAGGAGAACAAAGGTGTCTGAATTCTGAATTATGGCATGCATGTGCTGGGCCACTTGTATCATTACCTGCTGTAGGCAGTCGGGTTGTGTACTTTCCTCAAGGTCACAGCGAGCAGGTTGGTTACCTTTTTTATATTATTCCAAGATGAAACAAGATATGTTACTGCTGACCTACGGGTATGTCTTTGGGTCAATGTGTGTTATGGAAATGCATTTCACTCTTTTTTTCGCTTATATTGTGCCTAGCTGATGCATGCACCCCATGCCTCTAATCTTAATATATAATCATTGCCAGTCGTTTCTCAATTGAAAAAGGTTGTGTCCGAGTGAAGATATACATAACGTTGTGTCCATTTGAAGATGATCTTACTCAGTTTTGCTTAATACAGTTTGTTTGGTGCCTAGACATCATCTTGTCTTTTTAACATCCACTAGAAAATTTTAAATGCTTGATTTATGCAGGTATCTGCATCCACCAACAAGGAAATTGATGCACACATCCCCAATTACCCGAGTTTACCTCCTCAGCTGATTTGTCAGCTTCATAATGTAACCATGCATGTAAGTTTCAAATTTTAAATTTTTTCAATGTTTTAACTCGAACATGTTGGTAATAATCCAAGTTGTAATAACTGTAAAAGTCTGAAAATTCAGGCAGATGTAGAGACTGATGAGGTTTATGCGCAAATGACATTGCAACCTTTGAACCCGGTAACCAATTATATCTTTATGCACGAGAGCTTAGTATATTGATGGTTCCTATTCCGTTAGATATCATTGATTTCCCTCCCTGTCTCCACAGCAAGAGCAGAAGGATCCCTACCTCCCAGCTGAGTTGGGTACTCCTAGTAAACAACCCACCAACTATTTTTGTAAGACATTGACTGCAAGTGACACAAGTACTCATGGTGGATTTTCTGTTCCTCGTCGGGCAGCAGAGAAAGTGTTCCCTCCGTTGGTAGGTTACCTTTGCTAGGATTAGAAATTCTAAGATGCATATCCTTTTACCTGCTTGTCAGTTTTGTCAGAGAAGTATATACGACTGATATTGATTTTTTTCCACCTTATTGTTTTGTTTCTCAGGACTTCTCCCAGACGCCTCCTGCACAAGAGTTGATTGCAAGGGACCTTCATGACAATGAATGGAAATTTCGTCACATTTTTCGAGGTATGTTCTATTTTGCCAACTATTTAAAGTTGAACATTTCCTTTGATGATGAGGTCATGAAGATAATATGTAGTTTTTTTTTGTTTTGGTTGAACTGCATGAATGTTTAAATGTATAAGCTTTCCTGTTTTAACATGAAAATGGAGAGTTTTTACTCCATCATCCTAATTGATTCATCGTCTTTGCTAATGATTGTTAAATGTGTCTTTTTTAACATTCTATTTTTCAGATATTTTAACTTTTAAGTTGTGAAGACTATTTTAGCGTGCTTGAATCAGTTATGAACTTTGTGGATTGTTAGTGTTCTTGGTGATATTCTATCCAAAGAAGACATTGAATGATACTATAAATAATCACATTCTAATTAGGTTTTATGGATAAGACCATTTGACAAGCATCGTTATATTTTATGAGCTGTAGAGTTCCATAATAAAGATAGCGTCAAGGTAGAATGAGTTTGACAGATCATTATGCTAGAGATTTTCAGATGTTATTTAATTGTGAGCGTATAGTATGGCAAATATGAATAGTTCATCTCTAATCTGCATTCATGTTCTGACAAATAAAAGATCTGGTTACTGTTGCTCAATCACAGTATGGATATAAATATGATAGTGAAAAATATTCAGAATATCAAAAATCGTATCTGGATTTAGTATTTTACTGGATCTAGCCAATTGCATATGTTTAAAAGTGATATTTTTCTGTGAACTTTTTGGTCCAATTCATTAGCATTTGACTAATATTCATATTGATGTCAGACAGAATTTAATTTACCAAATATGAACATTAGTTTAGTAGTACTCATACATGTAAACAGCTAAACAAATACAAAACGAGTATGGTGATAACTATATTATTACTGCATGTAGCCGTTCACTATGATGTCCAAATAAGACACCCTTAAGACTTTAACATAATTATTTATCATTTGCAGTGTAGTAACATATTGAACTAAAATGGTTGTGCTAGTCTCCCTGCAGCCTTTTGATGGTTCATAATCAATAGTGTGGTCTTATATTCTTGTAGTTCCTTCATTTATTAGTATACTGGCTCATCAGATGTCTAAAAATTGGTCACCAGATGTTAGAATGTGTATGATATGTGCATTGATTTCTCCCTTTTCCTGAAGTACTGGATTCCACGCACATTTATTTAACGTTTGTGTCTAGCATGTAAGTTGTGTAGTTCTATACAGTAATGTATTAGTTTATTAGATTGTAATAATGGCATATGCTTTTCTAGACTTCTAGTCTATGCAGCTCTCTTTGCAGTTCAGTAAATTGATCATGTGCAGGTCAGCCAAAGAGGCACCTTCTCACAACAGGATGGAGCGTGTTTGTAAGTGCAAAGAGGCTTGTTGCAGGTGATTCAGTGCTCTTCATCTGGTATGGTGAATTCAGACCTGATTTGTATTTCATATTCTCATGTTAGCATACTTATTTCTAATATTAGTAATGCTATGATGTTTCTTCTTTCAGGAATGATAATAACCAGTTGCTGCTGGGTATTCGGCGTGCGAGTCGTCCACAAACTGTTATGCCTTCATCAGTATTATCCAGCGATAGCATGCACATCGGCCTTCTTGCTGCAGCAGCTCACGCTGCTGCTACAAACAGCCGTTTTACTATATTTTATAACCCAAGGTAGCTGTTGTTGTATGACACAATATAGATGGTCTAGAATGGATCTTATTTTGACATGTCTCATATGCTTTTAGGGCGAGCCCTTCAGAGTTTGTCATACCACTGGCCAAGTATGCAAAAGCAGTTTATCACACTCGTGTCTCTGTGGGGATGCGTTTCCGCATGCTTTTTGAAACTGAAGAATCAAGTGTTCGCCGGTATGCTAGAACTTGAAACTTCAAATTTTAAACTTTGTCTGTTGAAACTTGGCGGTGGAATATCTTATCGTGCATTTGAATATAGTATTGTTAAATAGCTGACACTTCTCATTTTTGGGTTTCTCGTTTGATATTGCATGTTCCATATTATTTTAGGTGATAGCACTTATAATGGCTTGTCTTGTTTTCAGTTACATGGGGACGATAACCGGGATAAGCGATCTGGATCCAGTCCGTTGGCCAAATTCACATTGGCGTTCCGTGAAGGTATTTATGCTGCAAATCATTAGTAGCATGTTGTGATCCTTTAGATTATGCAATCAGGAGCCCGTCTATAAAGCTGTTTTGCTGAAGTTATTCATAAATACCTTTACACTTTCTACTTACTTAGGTTGGTTGGGATGAGTCCACTGCTGGGGAAAGGCAGCCAAGGGTATCACTTTGGGAGATTGAGCCACTGACAACATTCCCAATGTACCCGTCCCCTTTCCCCCTCAGACTAAAGCGCCCTTGGCCATCAGGTCTGCCTTCTCTTCATGGTATGCTTTTGAATTGCTTCTTGATGTTCAAAGTCCTTCCTATTGTTCATACTCTGTTCCCTAATTTTTCTCACTTATTTATGAAGGTGGAAAAGATGATGAACTTGGCTTGAATTCTCCACTTATGTGGCTTCCCAACGGTGATCGAGTAATGCAATCCTTAAATTTCCAAGGTCTTGGAATGGCGCCTTGGATGCAGCCCCGGCTTGATCCTTCTATGCTCGGTCTACAGCCAGACATGTATCAAGCAATGGCTGCAGCAGCGCTTCAGGAAATAAGAACTGATCCCTCAAAACAGGCAGCTCCTGCATTACTGCAATTCCAGCAACCTCAAACAATAACCAGCAGATCCACTCCCTTACAGAGTCAGATTCTACAACAAATGCAATCTCAGTCTCAGCAAGCTCTCCTTCAGTCCCTCCAAGAAAGCCATTCTCATAACCAAAGTCAGACTCAATTCCTTCAGCATCAGTTGCAGCATTCCCACTCGTTTAGTGATGCTCAGCAGCAGCTGCAGATGCCACCACCTCAGCAGCAACATGAGCAGCAGCAATTACAACAGCAGCAACAGCAGAGACTGCAGCAATTACAACAGCATCAGCAGCAACAATTACAGCAGCAGCAGCAACAATTGCAACAGCAGCAGCAGCAGCAGCAGAATCACTTGCAACAACATCAGCAGCAGCAGAACCAATTGCAACAGCAACAACAGCAGAAGCAGCAGAACCAATTACAACAGCAGCATCAGCAACAGAATCAAGTACAGCAGCAACGCCAGCCTAGCCATCAACAAACACCTAACGTAGTTTCAGCTCTATCTCAGCTACCTTCGACTTCTCAGTCCCAACCTTCAACCCTGCCAATAGTATCTACATTCAGCCAGCAGAATTTCTCAGACACCAACAGTAACCCAGTATCCACATCTGGTGTTCCTCCCCTGCACAACATTCTGCCTTCATATTCACATGAAGAAACATCAAATATTCTCAGCATACCAAGAAGTAGCCAATTGTTCAACTCCGGTGTGTGGCCATCTAAGCGACTAGCTGTTGAGTCCATGCTTCATTCTGGGGCTCAATCAATTCAGGCCCAGGTCGGACAGTTAGGCTCTACCCAACCGAATATTTCTAGCAACTCCTTTGCATTGCCACCATTTCCAGGAAGGGAATGCTCATTTGAGCAGGAAGGTAGCACTGATCAACAAAGCCGCCAGCTTTTTGGTGTCAATATAGATTCCTCGTCTCTCTTAATGCAGAATGGCATGCCAAGCCTCAGGACAGTTGGCAGTGAGACTGATTCAACAAACATATCCTTTGCTAATGGAAATTTTCTAGGCACCACAGGAACTGATTTCCCATTGAACCAGGCACTGATGAGTTCAAGTTGCATAGAAGAATCAGGACTGTTGCAATCTCCGGAGAATGTGGATCAAGTTAACTCACAAAGTGGTACTTTCGTAAAGGTAAGTTGCTTTGTACCCAGAGTGCAATAACTAATTCTGTCTTTTGTCTGCTGATTTTTTTTTTTGAAGATTTACAGTAGTTAATTCGAGTATCACTTATGCTAGAGTTAATAAATTTTTAGGACTGAGATTGCATAAATTCGTAAAGGTTTCAAGATGTATAGAGTGGAATAATTTAATAAAGAATAGAGGCTTTACCATTGAGAATTTATCCACAAATAACTGGCTCTAGGTTATGCAGTAGGAGCTTCCTTTTCTATCCAATTCTAAATGATCTCGGTAGTCATCCATAAAGTAACTTTTTTGTCAATTACTTTTGTTTTTGGTCTACAGCCGAATACTGCTTAGCTGTTCAGAATCAAAACATGTGCCTGTCTGGTTACTTTCCTATTTATTTATGTTAACAAATATACTCTGGTTCATAAACGTGGTCCGAAATTCCCTGTCGGGTACTAGTTTGTAAAATCTTGTTTATTTCTGCTGCTAGATGCATTTGGCTTTGCCATATCTTATTGCTTGTAATGAACTCTGCTTCTGTTTGCAGGTTTACAAAGCTGGGTCCTTTGGGAGGTCACTAGATATTACCAAATTCAACAGTTATCCTGAGCTCCGGAGTGAGCTTGGGCATCTGTTTGGCCTCGAAGGTCAGTTGGAAGACCCTATGAGATCAGGCTGGCAGCTTGTATTTGTCGATCGGGAGAATGATGTTCTTCTGGTCGGCGATGATCCCTGGCAGTAAGTCTCTTAATTCCTTTTTTCGGACAATATCTATTCAGTCTTTTGGTTCTGAACTTTACTTTTATCTATTATGCTATTATTGTTATAAATTCTATCTACCATTATTAAGTGAGGTCAAATTGGTGGCTGTTAATTAGTACTTTTCTTTCGGCACATGTCAACTGTTTGACTATTCACAATTGATGCTAACAGTTTTAGTAAGGATGCATGCCTTTGGTAAATTATATTATCCAAATGCCTCAAATCGATAAATGTTCCAAATAATGAGAAATACGGGTAAAATCTGAAATAAGAGAGCTGACAACATACCACGTATGTGAAACGTAAAAAGTTGAGGATGATTATAACTCATATACACTTCTTGAGTCTAGTTATCATATGCACAACTCTTTTGTGAAATTTGGATGTTGTAAGATTCAGGTATCCATGCATAGTTTTTATAATTGATACTATTTAAAGGCATATATCTTACCTGGTTTTGGTGAAAATCAATTGTTTTCTTGGTTTTGGTTAATAGGTAGTTGCCCTTACATACAGAAATGTGTCTTTTGGCAAAGATCTGGCTGTCGTTGATATATGCTGGTCCATATAGAAACATGACTACCTTAATTTGGTTTAAATATCGTCAAGAAGAAATGAAATAATGGTCACAAAAAACGCACTTAACTAATCATGTTAGCGTGAACCTTTTCCTTTGTTTAGTATGAGATTATGATTAACTTAGATTAAATTGTGCCTTGCTATTCTCTTTTACTATTTTTAGTTTTCATTTTCTATTTATTATATATTAAATAAAACCATAGGACAGAAGATCGATATGGACCCTGCTATTAGCTGTTCTCATCATTTTCATGAACCAAACTAGAGGTTAGTTGGATGTAGTTTTGCATGGACAGTTTGACCTGCTGGGATTGTGGCATGAGTTACTTCATTATGGATTGAAATTCTCAAGTTGGCACAACTATTTTCAAGGACATGTTTATGAGGGATTTTTTTTCCTCTTCACATACATAGCTCATGCATGAAATTAATATGCCATGACAAGTATTGCCTAGTGCCATGACAAGTATTACTGAGTACGGAGTTATAAACTGGTACCTCAATAAGTGTATTCAACCTTTCCTTAAGATGTCATATTTCGTACAGCTTGTGATACACATATAACAAAATAGTTTGCTTTTCAATATTTCAATTTCGCTTCACCTGAACTTAACGTGCTGTGATTCCTACAGGGAGTTTGTCAATAACGTTTGGTGCATAAAAATACTTTCACCTCGAGAAGTGCAACAGATGGGGAAAGAAGGCGATGAACTTCTGAATTCAGTTCCAATGAAAAGGCTCTCTAGCAACAACTGTGTACGACAGACTACATAATTAGGCAGGGTCTAGAAACTCACGTCCAATTGCATCAGTGTCTGTGCGGGTCTTCATACTAACTGAGAAGACGCAGAAGAAAATCACAAATCAGAAGGATCCGCCTCGGGCTACTGGAGAGCGTCCAGTAAGTTTAAGTTAGCCTCATGTCTAATAACTGTATCATATCAATCTATGTACCCTCATATGACCTTGTTATACAATGCCGACACGGATTGTTAGAGGACTGTGGAATTCTACACTCTTTTTTCTGCATGAATTCCAACTTTTACTTAGCACAACTGGAGCTTGTTTCCAAGGTTGATTGCAGTTTGCAGGTACATCATGTATTGTACCATAGAGGCACTTATTATCCCCAACCTCTTTTTTATTAGCATTTAGACTTCATGATGCTCGAATGGAGTTGTCTCTGGTATTTTTATCTGTACGTTGGGAGGTGTTTGTTTAATACCCACGAGAGAATAGGGGATGACGGCTGTTCATTGAAATATCAAGTATCTCTCTGCAATACATTGACGTCAAGTGATAGGTGCCACTGATATACAGGGAATTTCGGTTGAATATCAAGAGGTTAATGTGCTCATAAAAACTTTAGTAAGTTATTTTCCCCCTGTGGTACAAAGTGTGTATAAGGAATTAATATTGTTGATAGGGTTATGAATAGACCCCTTCTACTATGCCCAATTATTGATAGACCTGTCGTCTGATTATTTGCATATAGACCTCTGGGTGAATTTATTTGACTTCCATTACCTTAATTACCTTCAAAGAACGAGAAAATTATTATTATTTGACAAATAGACCTTCTTAGGATTAATTTGTCAAAAAAAAAAAAAATTGTGCTCGTGAGAATGCGGATGTTGTTGCTTGCTAAAATCTAGAATATGGTGATAGATATGATTATGTAGTGAAATATTCACATTTGTATTCTGGATATCCGGTTATAATTATTAGATTAATGGATCTGAGACCAACTTTGATAATCAAGAAATCTAATCTTCAGTTTTTGAGATTAAGATAAAAATTATTAATGATCCCTCTTATAGCATATGAACTATAATTTTTTTGATATTATGATTTTTTTTAACGAATATCCATTTTGATCTGTATGTATGTCCGCACATACATTTGCATCTGTATTTGATTTTAGTGGAATGTTAAGGAATTTTGTTTATAGAGGCTTATTTATATGAGTCCTACTAGGGGCACACCCTCAACCACACTTCCAACCGCACCCCCACACTCTCTATAGGGGTCCAACTATTCACACTCCCAAACAGTAACTTTGGGGGTGTGTGAGGACTAAATTGCCCTTAAGGGCATTGTTGGGGTCCAACTATTCATACTCCCAAACAGTAACTTTGGGGGTGTGTGAGGACTAAATTGCTCTTAAGGGTATTTTCGACAATCCAACTTCCAAAATTACTGTTTGGGAGTGGATATAGCAAACGTGTCTCTATAGTGCTAGTGGGTCATGCATGATATTTTTTTTAAAATATCATGCATGGCCCACAAGCACTATAAAGAGTGTGGGGGTGTGGTTGGAAGTGTGGTTGAGGATGTGCTCCTATCATTATTTTTTAATTTGTATCTGTATGATCCGTAAGCAATTAAATACTGATATCGTATTTTAATCCGTATCCGAACCGTGCGCGCCCATGTCAAGGGGTCGACATGCAACTGACTAGCTGGGAGAGTCACTTTATCTCAGATCTCATAATCACACTGAGAAAGAGCCAGCTCTTTTTTTTTTCTTTTTTTTTTTTCCTGCCCCCGCGCTCGAGTCATTTTCTCACTTTATATCTCGCCTCAAACTTCAATCATCAGTCCCCTTGTTCCCATGGAGTGGGGCCCGCCACATGCTCGTCAGATTATGTTTAAGTTGACCGGTGGTGACGTCGCACTTCGATCGAAGTGGGGGGAGGGAGAGCATGTGGGCATCAGTGAGTCCACAGAACCAAGAGGACAGAGGACAGAGAGAGAGAGAGAGAGAGAGAGTATTTGGCGGCATCTCTTCTTTCTATTAATTTTTTTTTTTCTCTCTCTCTCTCTCTCTCTCTCTCGATTTTCTGTCACGTTCGTATCTTTCGATGGGCCCCTTGTGGGCTTTTAGATCTTGTTTATTAGGTGAAATCTGTCGTTCATCTTTTGCCCCTGGAACGGTATCTATTCTTCATCGTGCCATCGAGGGTCAGCTCGGTCGTAAGTTTTTCGAGGGAAATGCGTGACGCACAAGGAACCTAGGCTCTCCTATCAGGGAGCCGTAAGATTGAAGAAGGTATGTGAGAGTAATCAAACCATTTTGGTAGTCCATTAAGCCTTAAACATAGATTTTCAGTATTGGGTAATTTGATGCAAAACTTATATTTAAAACCCATCTAATTTCCAAGAGGATTCGTTACTCCTCGCTGAATGGTATCAGAGTCCAGATTATGTATGGAGCAAAGTCCAAAATGAAGCTCGATTGCTCACCAGTACAAGGAGCTGAGAGAATACAGAATTAATTCATGCTAATTTGAGCAGAATTTTTTTTTATTTACTCAATATAGTAGGGTATGCTAGTGGTTTCATGTTAATTTTGCATTTTACAGAACTGATTCATGCACACCGATAAGATTTTCTTGTTGAACATCAATTAGATTCATATTGATTAAACTTTCAGGAATTATTTGAGCTTCGTAAGCATTTCTACCTGCAAACAGAAAGGAAATGTACCTCAAGTTTCCTCATTTTGGCCTCAACTTTTGCTCTCTCATGCTCCTCCCATGCTTGAATCTTGATTCCCTCTCGTGTATATCTTTGAAAACAAAATTTTAATAGCTAAAACATGAACATTGCTTAACAAAATCATTATTACGGTATAATGTAATACCTAGCCATATGCTTAGCTTTCTCAGCTTCCTCCCACGCTTTCGCTCGGGCTTCATATTCTTCCTTCACTTTTTGTTCTGCATCGAAATTCTTCGGAGAGAGAGCGGCAGACTCTGCCTCCTTACTAGCCCAAGAGGCTATATTCATCTTGCCGAGCTTTACACCAAGAGCAGCAATTTCTCTTCTCGTTTTTAGCTTCAATTCTCTTTCAGATAGTTCGTGCTTTCCACCTTTATCTTGGCATACATTTTTGTGGAATTTAGCTCCATTTCTGGGAGTTGATGGTGTTGAAGATATGGGGGTTTTGGTCGGTGTCGTGGATTCCATAGGAGTTGTAGTTCTTGATGGTTCTTGACTAGGAACAGGGGTCATTTCTGTTCCGATATCTCTCATTGATACAGAGTCTACAGTTTGAGTCGCTGCATATAAACAAACAATTGAAATGAATCTACTCGAAAATGTATACAAGCTCATACTCCTTGAGGATGAAGACTCTGAAGTAATGACACTAATGAGTGCCAATATGCAAATGGAAAATTTTCAAGGTATAAAAGTTTACTGGCTCCATATGGTTCTCAATTGTCTTATTGCATGAATAGAGCAATTTCATACTTTATTTAACATTCAACCATTTTAGTTGACTTACCAGAACTCTCCTCTGTAAGAAATCAAGTAATGAAAATAGTAGGAAATTTCAGGTTTATATTATGCTACTAAATATTTGGTATGGATCAAGGTTTGAAATGTTAGCATACCTCAGGTTCAGTTAACCTTTGTTGGTACGAACGGTGCATCAATCTAACTTATATGCAACTCAACTGTACATCAGTCCTCCCATTTAAGCTCAGATCTATTTAAAGGATAATCTGGAATATGGTTTGTAAATGATGAATTACAAACTTCAGGTGGTATAAAGGCTAAGCACAGAAATAGAGAAGGCAACACACGCTGACAAACAACAAATTCTATAAAGCATGCACAAAGTGGAATTACCACATCTCATACATGAGTACCCTAAATGCATATCCACTTGTCATACAATTTGAATTGTCTACTACGTGTTTTTTCCCCTTTTTCTTGTGTGTGTGTGTGTATGG